GTAAATGACAAACAAGGAAAAATGACAAGCAGTTGATAACCTTATAATATGAAAAGCATTTTTTAGATTTTTTTCTTAAATAGTTTATTGTCAAGTTGGTTTCCATTTAACACCCAGTGCTCATCCCAACAACTGCCCTCCCCCATGCCCATCACCCCCCTCTCCCTCTCCCCCACCCCAATCAGCGAGCAGTTTGTTCTCAGCATATGAAGAGCTTTTACAAGAAAATAAGCAAATGTTAAAAGAGCCCAGTACTGAAATGAACAAAGCATATGAACAGATAAACCACTAACAGAGAAGTTAAGTGATCAACAAATTTTGTATTGCTAATGAAAAAAGAAAAAGATAGATTCCTATTCTCTCCATAAAATTGGCCAAGATGGGGATTTAAAAAAAAAGAAAGTATCCTTACTCATCGAGGGTAAAGTGAAATAAGCATTCTTTTTTAAAATTGAGATATGATACATATATCATGAAATTCATCCTTTTCAAGTTCAGTGGACTTTAATATATTCACAAGGTTGTGCAACCGTCAACACTTCTGGAACATGTTTTATCATCACAAAAAGAAATGCCTTACCTATTAGCAGCCACTTCCATCACCCCTCCCCTCGCAACCACTATTTTCTGTCTCTGTGGATTTGCCTATGCTGAATATCTCGTATAAATGGAATCATACAATCTGTGGTGTTTTGTGTATGGCTCCTTTTACTTAGCATAATATTTTCAAGGTCCATCCAAATATTTTCAAGGTCCATCCACATTGCAGCACATATCAGTACTTTATTCCTTTTTATGGACAAGTATTCCATTGTATAGATAATACTACACTCTCTTTATCCATCGGTTGATGTGCATTTGGGTTGTTTTCACTTTTTTGGCTATTATGAATAATGTGGCTATGCAAGTTTTGTGTGTATACATATGTTTTAAATTTTAATAACTAGGAGCAGAATGCTGGGTTATATGGTAACTCAATGTTTAACTTCTTGAGACTATTTTCCTAAGTGGCTACACCATTTTATAGCCCCGCCAACAATGTATGAGGATTTTAATTTCTCCACATCCTTGTAAACACTTATTATAGTTTACCTTTTTGATTATTTATTAATACATTAATAATTTATAATAATAATAATTTATTATTATTATTTGTTTTTCTTCTTTGGAGGAATGCTTATCAAGTTCTTTGCCCATTTAAAAATTAGATGGTCTCTTTATAGTTGCGTTATAAGTGCACTTTATATAGTCTGGATACTAGACCCTTTATCAGATATATGACATATTTTCCCCCATTCTGTGGGTTGTCTTTTTACCATCTTAATAATATCCTTTTATGCTGAAAAGTTGTTAGTTTTGATGAAGTTCAGTTTATTTTTTCTTTTGCTGCCTGTGCCTTTGGTGACATATATAAAAATCCTTTGCCAAATCCAAGGTCATATATACATTTACCTTTATGTTCTCTCCTAAGAATTTTATGGTTTTAGCTCTTATATTTAGAATACTGACTTCTTTTGATTAATTGATGTAGGAGGGAGTCCAACTTAGCTTTTTTATTCCCTCTCAGCATGTGGAAACACAGTGTCTGAACACCCATTTGTTAGACTATTATTTCCCCATTGAATGGACTTGGACAGTCTTGTCAAAAATCAACTGGCCATATATGTGTAGCAACATGGATGGAACTTGAGGGTGTTCTGCTGAGTGAAATAAGTCAGGCAGAGGACAGATACCATATGTTTGCACGTATAGGAAGATTAGGAGGAACTTAACGGAGGACCGTGGGGGAGAAGAAGGGGGGAAAATAGTTGGGGAGAGGGAGGGAGGCAAACCATGAGAGACTCTTGAATGCTGAGAACAAACTGAGGACTGATGGGGGGGGAAGGGAAAGTGGGGCGATGGGCATGGACGAGGACACTTGTGGGGATGAGCACTGGATGTTATATGGAAACCAACTTGACAATAAACTATTTAAAAAAATCAACTGGCCATAGATATATGCATTTATAGACTCCCAGTTCTATTCTATTGGTCTAGATGTCTATCCTTATGTTAGTACCACACTGTTTTGATTACTGAAGCTTTTGGTAAGATTTGAACTCAGAAGTCTAAGTCCTTTGACTTTGTTCTTCTTTTTCAATATTGTTTTGACTATCCTGGACTCCTTGAAATTCCATATGAATTTGAGGATCAGATTTTCCATTTCTGCAAAAAAGGCTGTAAGAATTTGTTAGGGATTATGTTGTATCTGTAGATCATTTTGGGTACCTTAAAATCGAGTCTTCCTATTTGTGATCAAGAGATACCTTTCTGTTTGTTGGTTTTCTTCCAGCAATGATGTAGTTTTCAGTGTACAAGTCTTTCACCTCCTTGGTTAAATGTAGTCCTAAATATTTTATTTGTATGATACTATTGTAAATAGAATTGTTTTTGTAATTGTCAGGTTGTTCATTGCTAGTATATCGTATACCCTGAAACTGCTGAATTTGCTTTTTACTATATATATGATATAGAACAATAATTATATCATCTGTTAATAAATGGTTTTACTTTTTCCTTTCCAATATGGCTGCTTACTTTTTTTCTTGCCTAATTGGTCAGGCTACAATTTCCAGTATAATGTTGAGTAGATGGAGTGAAAACGGTATTGTCTTGTTTCTGATCTTCAGGGGAAAGCTTTTAGGATTTTGCCATGGAATATGATGTTGACTGAGTTTTTCATAAATATACTTTATCAGGTTGAAAAATTTCATTTCTGTTCCTAGTTTTCTGAGTTTTTTTTTTTTTAATCATGAAAGGGTGGTGTTGGATTTTGTAAAATGCTATTTTCTTTTTATTTTTTATTTTTTTAGGTGGGCTTTGCACCCAGAGTGTGGAGCCCAACACAGGGCTTGAACTCATGACCCTGAGATCAAGACCTGAGCTAAGATCAAGAGTCAGATGTTTAACCAACTGAGCTACCCAGGCGCCCCATGTGCCCCCTGTCAAATGCTTTCTCAATGTCAGTTATGATCATGTGATTTTCCCCCTTATTCTATTCAGGTGGTGTGTATATTGGTTTTGTACTGTTGAACTACTTGCTGAGATAAATCCCACTTGGTCACGGTATATAATCCTTGTATAGGCTGTTGGATTTGGTTTGCTATTTTTGTTGAGGATTTTTGCATCTACCAACTACCCATACTACTGAAGGCTACTGAAGTAAGTCCTTATGGCTTTAGTTCTAATGGTTCTCTATAGGCCTGATGTAGTTGGCATTGCTGGCCATTGTTTCCTTTCATATTTATTATTGTGGTGCTTTCTCCCTGAAATACTCTTTCTTCTTGGTTTCTGAGGCAGTACTCCCTCCTGGGTTTTCTCTCATTTCTAGATACTTCTCCATCCCATTGGAGATTTTTCTTCTGATTATCCTTTAAGTATTAGTATTTATTAGGAATCCTTCAGAAGATCTGAGTAACCCCATCCATACCGAAACTTTGATGATCCTGTTTATATCAGCAACTCCCAAGCTAATGAGGACTTACCTGGAGAGTTAAGATAAGGCCACTCCTCTGAGTTACTTCTGGAGCCACCTCCTGAACAACTCTTCTGGAATGTTCTACAGGTAGTGCAGTACCACCAGGACTCGCAGGTCTTTCTTGTTTGGGCCTCTGCTACCTTTGTAGAGACTAGCAAAGCTGTTCAAGGACTTTTCCATCTTAAGGAAAGAGGTATGCCTTTCAGTTCATTTCATTGCAATTCCACAATCCAGTTATGATGATTTCTAGCTCTTTTGCTCCAGGACATTCTTTAGCTTTTTCCTTGCGTCTTTGTTGCCTCATTTGTAAAGTGGGGAAGATAATACTTCGTTTGAGGATTAATGATAATGGAAAACGATAATGTATGTAAAGATCTTGACCCATATTAAGTTCCAAATAAAATGCAGCTATTTAGTAATAGACAGACATGAAGGGATAATATACAAGGGAATGGAAAATAATACTAAATTGTCTGTTGTTTCTGCTGACGCTCATCTATGCTTTCATCTGTTTTTATGCTGGGAGGGGACTTGAGCAGCAGACACCAGATGAAGAACACTAGAGCCTTGCTCCAATAATCTTACTGGGTCCAATCTGAGGATTTATTGCTATAAGAAGATCTTTTTATTGGATTCATAATGAAACACCTTTTGGTTATTACACTTGAATGTGTGTTTTTATACTCAGGGCTTGCCTTAAGGTGAGCATCCACTGATTTTCATTTAAATACTTGTGGGATTTTTTTTTTCCTTTTTTTAAATGTTTATTTTTGAGAGTGTGTGTGTGAGCACGAATTCACACACTCAAGCAGGGGAGGGGAAGAGAGAGGATACAAAGTGGGCTCTAAAATCTTTCAGTTAAGATCAAAGGAATGTACATTTGAGTAAGTAAGCATTGTAATGGGAAATTTATTGTTTTTAAGGCTCCCTTTTAAAATTTGGTGTCTATTTTATAGAACTTCTTTGCTAAATTCATTTTAAAATGACTTAATCACTTGGATTTTATTTCACTTAAGCATTTATCTTTTTCTCCTAGTCCTTTAACATAAGAAAAAAGGTACCCTGACCTTGGGTGAAAGTAATTATTGTATTCAAGATTTAGTAACTTCTTTTGTAAACTGTAAATGGGAGTAAGGTACATATTTTGTAAGCTGTAGCTCCCCGTGTACGCTGGATTTTGGAGCGGTCCCTCCTCGAGCCCGTCGTTGTTTAACGACTTAACTACGGGGCGGCTTCCGTGCACTGCCGGGAGGACGGGGCCCGGCGGCCAGCCCCGCGGCCGACGAGCCCCTGGGACCGCCGGGCCCCAGAAGTGCCGCGAACCGCGCCGCCACGCCCGCGGGGGCGGTGCCCGCCCGGCCTCCCCGCGACCCGCCCCCGCGGGCGCTGCGCCGTGCGTCTGCGCCGACACCCCCGCGGCCGCCGCGGTAGGTAGTTTCTCCTGATGATGCAAACACTGACTTCCCGCATCCACTTCCCACAGAGGCCGCGGAGCCGGCGGGAGCCGGGAGCGCCGCCGAGCCGCGCGCCATGGGCAACATCCAGAAGAAGCTGACCGGCAAGAGCGAGGGCGGCAAGCGTTCGGAGAGGGGCGCCCCGCGGCGCGGTCGGACGCCTGGGGCCGGCTCGGACAAGGGGAGCCGACCGCGTGCCCCGGCGGCGGCGGCGGCGGAGGGCGGCACCAACCGGCCCCCGGGCGGCGGGCGGGACGCGGGGGACCCCGCCGCCGCCACAGCGCCCGCGGCCCCCGCCTCCCCGCTCGGCCCAGCCGGCCTGAAGAACCAGGGCAACGAGCTGTTCAAAAGCGGGCAGTTCCCGGAGGCGGCCCTCAAATACTCTGCGGCGATCGCGCAGCTGGAGCCTGCAGGTAGGCGAGCTGCGCCCGCGCCTCCCCGGACCCGCTGCGGCTCACGGGACCTGCCGGGCCGCCGCCCGGTGACCGGCGCTCGCGTGCGTGCGTGCCTGCCTTCGTGCGGAACAGCGGGGCTGGGTGGCACCGACCTGGGCGGGCAGCACCGCGGAATGCGTCGCGTGTGCGCGGGCAGGGCGCGTCTGCAGCAGTCCGTCAGGGGCTTTCCCTGGGATGCAGGACGCTGCGGGCACGCCCCCCTCCCGGGGCCGCATTACGGGCTGCCTGCAGGACTGCAGTGTCCCTGCGGACGGCAGTCGTCATGTGCTGGTGAACTGTGACTGAGCTAATGGATTTTAACTGCGTTTAATTCAATGTGATTTTAGGAAGTGCAAGTGCAGATGATCTAAGTACCTTATATTCAAATAGAGCGGCGTGTTACCTAAAGGAAGGAAACTGCGGCGGCTGCATTCAAGATTGTAACAGGTAAACTGCCCGTTTCCAGGTTTGTCCAGAGAGTGTTACCATTCCGGTGTGATGAATGCAGTATTTAATTTCTTTCCTTTTTTAAAAAAATATTTAATAGCGTGGGGCTCGAACTCCTGACCCGGAGATCAAAAGTCACATGCTCCACCTACTGAGCCAGCCAGGTGCTGCTGCAGTATTTAATTTTTTACTAAATTTTCTGCGTGAGTCTGATTTCTTAAGAGACTTTTTAAAGACATGTTAATTATATATAGAAGTCACAAGTTCTTTTTCATAAATTTCTAATTGAAGAAATCATAAATTTTTTCTAACTGAAGACAGTTAATAGAAGACTGTGCAAACCTTTTTCATTTTCACAGCCACCACCTTAATTCATGTGCTTTTCATATCAATCCTAGGCTACTGGAGAAGTCTTCCGTCTGATCTCTGCCTCCTCCAATCCAGTGTAGCCTCAGAACTTTTCCTGAAGCATTGTGTTTCAAATAGGCATTCCGTGGCTCAGTATGGTGTTCCAGATAATTATAGGCTCCTTTTTTACCACCTTGCCCCTGAACAAGCTTTCTGCTCTCATTTGGTCCACTGTCTGTAAAGCCCTCTGCACATCTTTGCTTCTGAAATCCTTGCTCAACTAATTGCTCCCTCCTCTTTGCCTTCCTGGTCACTTGCGTGGCTGTAACCCCAGCACACTCACTCTCACACCTGTGGGTACTTACGCATTCACTCCATTGGATATTGAGCTCTGTGAGGACTGGAACCATATTTTATGTACAGCTTTGCATCCTGCAAGCACTGTTCTCACCCATGTTACACAACAAGTTACACACTGGAATTGGTGAATATGTTTACGTGAATAAAGCGTACCGTTTCTTCCACTGTTAAGTAATAAGCCTGTGTCAGGAGCCCTTTGGAAAGAAGCTACTATTAACATATCTAAAAAATAAGTTGTGTGTCCGGATTTGACCTTCACAGTTCTGGTTTACTCCTCTTGTCTGGTAAAATTATTATTGTCATCCTTTTTCACTCTCAGAAGCCATAGTTTGAACAATAATTTATGTAGATAACCTTCTAAGAAAGTGAACAGTTTATTATTTTTTCATGGATAGTTTCAGTATATTGCTATGAGTGAAAGCTTGTAATACCTATGGCTACAGTTTAAAAAAAGGTGCTGTGGGACGTTTTTTTTTTGCCAATTTTATTTATTTATATTTAAAATAAATACTATATATGTTCACTTGGGCCTGACTGTAGACCCTATTCACTAATTAATTGTTGTGTTTCTAGGATTTTGTGAGCTGGTTGAAATCAAATTGGTAGCTTGAAATTTGCTAATTTGGTTGGAATACTAATACCATGAAAATTGGCAAATCCCACAAATCTGGGGGTTTCTCCTAGGAGGGGAGCCGGTTGTTAACCATTCACCACTGCACATAACTAACCAACAAGACCATGTGGGTTTGTGGAATATCAAGCATATTGTGATTTGTAGCCAAGACCCTTATAGCTCAAGTGTCCGTTGCTGATACCTTTCAGATTGGCCTTAGCTCTTCCTGCAGTAAGCAAATTCAGGACTTTAATTAAAACTTGAGACCCTTAGGGGCACCTGGGTGGCTCAAGCAGTTAAGTGATCTTTGCTCAGGTCATGATCTCATGGTTCCAACATTAAGTCCTGATTTGGAACTTTGCACTGACAGTATGGAGCCTGCTTGGGTATCTCCCTCTCTCTCTGCTCCCCATCTCTCTCTCTCTCTCTCCCTCTCCCCCCCCCCCACACAAAATAAACTTTAAAAAAACAAACAAACTTGAGACTCCTATAGTTAGGGCCACTGCAAAACAAGTGCACTCACTTTATCCTTAAGTGGGATGGTTTCAGGTGGCAGACATAAAGTTTGTTGGCGTTTCAGTGTAGATCTGGGAGGAAATCGATGGAATTCCAGCCATGGTGTCAGGGGAGGCTAGAATGGAGGTTTGTCTTGAAGGAGAGCAGGAGATGGCCTTCCCAGGAGGGAAATGGGCGGTGGTTTATTTAAGATGTCCTTAGATAAGAGCTGTGTTGTAGACCAAGGAATCCTGCTCTGCTGGTCAGTGCTGACCTCTATAGAGGCCGACCTACTTGGGTGTTTTCTTGATACCTGGTGTATGAGTCCCAACATTTGGGGCATGGGATGATTTTACTCCAAAGTGGTGAATCTCAAACTCCTTTTAATGCCAGAGAAACCATGATTTGCTTTTGCAAACATGTTGAAATAAATGTATTTAAATCTGTATGAACTAGGAATCATTTAGTAGCAGAAATATGACTGTTTTCTATTCACCTCAAGATTGCACACATTTTAATGGTAGCCTGTTTAGTTTTTCACTTAATCATCTGCTCTTTGGAGAGTTGTTTTTTGTGCCATGAGCCCTTATTACAAGGCAAGTGGTCGCTGGAGTCAAACACTGAAAAAGAAAAACTCGTGGGAGCAAACTTTAAGGAGTGTGTCTGAATTCATGGAGCCTCCTCTGAAGCACTTCCTCTGAGGTTTATCCCAGGGTGTGCAGAGAATCACTCCTGGGAGTATAAGGGGTACTGGCGGGGCTCACAAAGCTCTGGATCCTGCTCCTCTCCTGGCCACAGCGTCTCCATGTTTCTAGTTTAGGCTTCCAGGTGAGCCTTGAAAAAGGGTTACGATGCCTAAGTTGAAGTTTAAAACCATTATCCTAGAAACTACCTTTTGTTCTCAGGACTCTTTATCAGCTGAAAACAAAAAAACAAACTTCACTTTTCTCATCTGCCAGAGAACTTTTTTGGGTTATCTAAGCTACACCAAAAAAAAAAAAAAAATCTTTCAGTGACTTTCCATGGAGGATATTTTGACAGGCTCAGTAAAAATGAATGTTGCCTGGTAATTTGCTTTTGCTTCTCTTTGCTGCTCTCTGCCAGACTTCAAATTAGAAGACTCTGTAGGGCCTTGAAAAGGTGTTAACTTGAATAGTTAAGCTTTTGTAAGCTCTGGCTTAAAAATTCTGTGTTTTTAAGAATGAATGCCTTTTTAAATTTTTCTTAGCAGAATTACCATTTGTGGTAATTTGTGGTTTGTGGGTTCGAGCCCCGTGTCAGACTCTGTGCTGACAACTCAGAGCCTGGAACCTCCTTCTGATTCTGTGTCTCCCTCTCTCTCTGCCCCTCCCCTACTCATGCCTTTTCTCTCTCAAAAATAAATAAACTATAAAAAAGTTTTTTAAATAGACGTTAAAATTTTTTTTTAAGTTAAAGTATTTTTTGCTATTTACAGAAGTAATACATAAGTGTTATAGAAAAAAATTTAAAACCCAGCACAATACAATGGAGATCATTAAAATAACCCACAGTCCTAACACCTGGGCAGAAGAAAATAGGTTATTTTTTTGAAGAACTAACACAAATTAATGACATCTTCTATGGTGCACAGCCCAGGAGCACACCCACACGTGCAGTTGTGCATGACGTGGAGAAATGTGAAGGAGTCTCAGTGGCAGATGACTCCAGTGAAGTTTCTTCATTTATAGAGAGTTTTCTGTCTTTGTGGTAGGAAGAGCATAGGTTCAATCCGGTGTTTGCTCAGGTGCTTCCTCTGGCCCAGGCAGTGACCTCCGCCCTGGGAATATAGCGGTGCTTAGGACAGGTGGTGGCCTTGCTCTCCGGACGCTTAAGTTCAAAAGAACTGACATGTGGGCACATGGCCCCATGTCTCTCCGTCTCCTCACCTGCTGAAAGAATGTGGGACTGTTGACCCTGCAGGCTTGTGAGAACGTCTACGGTGACCAGCACGCGGCAGATGTTCTGTCAGAGCTCGCTCTTTGCCCGGTCACCGTAGACAGGAATAGACAGCAGATCCCCAAGACTGCTGGAGAAAAAGCAAAGCAGCCCTCCCTCTGCTTTCCCTGCCAGTGATCTATAAACTGCGTGGAACAAAAAAGTTATCCAGAAGAGACCTGCCATCCCCAGTGTGGACAGCCTGGTGCAGCAGATTCTCACTTGTGGGTTGTATAGAAAGTAGGCTCTTCCTAGGATCTCTGCGCTTCAGCCTTTGCAATTGTAGTTAAGTTCATTAAAACTATGCATTTCATTCATAAATCCAAACTTTTGATTGAATAGGTGCATATGCTTTATTTCAGAATATAATAAAGTCCATTACATGATGAGGTAGCTTTAAATAGTTACTTCAAGCAAAACCAAGGAACATAACCCTGAAATACATCTCTAGTGATGTTAGAAATACTTTGTAGCCTAAAAAGTGCAAGATGAAACTTCATGACTTTTCAGAAATTATACACTTCCTTGATTCCCTCCAGTCTATTTCTTAAGCCCTTTGGCAGCAAGTTAATCATAATAAACTGAAGTTCAGAGAACTGATTTTCAAAACGTAATGCAAGCTTTTGTGGTTGAGTGCTAAGGTGCCTTATTAAACACATAGGTGCAAATAAAACTTTTCCCCTTAATCCATCAGTAAGTAACAAGAATCTTTTGAAAGCCTACTTTGTGCCTAGTGCCACGGTGGGCTCTGTTAGGGCACAGGGGGTGTGGGAGGGAGAGGCATTGGAGAGGGTGAGGCACATTGCCTGTTGGCAGGGAGCTCGGGCTCACTGCGGGGTAGGGAGGGAAGAGTTAATGCCAAAGTGCTTCGGGAACTGTATAAAATGAGGTAACCACAAGTTTGATTGCTCTTCTACTCTGAGTTTGCCTTTCTAGTATGTTCCTAAGTTCCCAGTGTGAACTAGCAGATATATATGTGTTTGAGAGTCCGGTATCATAGTGTACTTTCAGTTAGTATAAGTTAAAACATAATTTTCAAAACAAATGACATGTAATATTTTTGTCTTTAGGGCTCTGGAACTTCATCCATTCGCCATCAAACCTCTTCTTCGACGAGCAATGGCCTATGAAACTTTAGAGCAGTATCAGAAAGCTTATGTGGATTATAAAACTGTATTGCAAGTGGACTGCACAATCCAGCTAGCGAATGACAGTATTAACAGGTAACCTTGCCTGAGGCAGTGCCTGAGGGCTAGTTGTTTTACAATGGAACTACATTTTTATCTTCCCCTCCTTCAAGAACAGTATTAAGGTGTAGACTGTTCTGTTATTTGCATGAATGATTGCCTTCTCTCACGCCCATCAAAAGCTAACTGTTCTTTCTCTCTAACTTAATTTCTAACTGTCTTGCAATACATTTTGAGTTGTCCTCTGACACCTTTGTATTTGTTTCCTGGTCCATTTATTACTGTTCAGTAATTGTTTTTTTTTTTTTTTTTTTTTTTACTCAGGGTATAGATCTTTGCTGTTCCGAATGCATAACATTTAATTTCAGTATTTGTAAATATCTGTGGAGTTAGGAAGTGTTTTCAGTGATGTTGTAAATCAGTACTACTTATAGGACAGGATCCAAAAATTTGGTGAAAACTGCCATGTTGAATCTTCTTCTCCTACAGGGTTCACACATGCTCATTGGCACCACATATGTCAGTGGAAACATATCTGTTGTTTCTCCTTAGGAGAATGGATGTCTTCATGAGCCTGCTAGATACTTGTGTTATATGCCCTTTAAATAGACACTCATCTAGGATGAGTATTAACTTATAGCAGAGAATTTGGATCTAATTTATATTATGACCTATTTACCCCCTGAGTGAGCATGGGAAGGTAAGAATTTCCAGACTTCATAAATTGCTTTCAGGTGAAATTTGAAAATTACTAGTTGGGTAATATCTCTAATTCTTCGTAATATTTTCTGATCCCATTTGTCCGAAGCATAATTTCTTACGTGCGTTCCGCTGTGCCCCATGTTGGTCTAGTGTACCCTGCCCACCCATGCACCTAAAAAGACAAAAAGGGGAAAAATAATATAGTCTCTGTATTCAGGCAAATGAGAATATAGTTGGGAGGGGAAACACAAGACAGGCTATCTCTAACTGTGAACAATTGTGAGGAAGGTGGGGGTTGACAGACCAGGCCACTCTCGCATGTGTAGACTTCAGTTGTTGGAGAGTGAGTGCCTGAGGGGGTCTTTGAAGAGCACTGTTAGGACATGAGGAGGCCTTGTGCAAAATTGTAGAAAATGAGAGTGGCATGTTTTGGATTAATTCATTTTATAAAATTATGCTTTACCCCCCTACATTGTTTCACCGCACCTTGCAGAAAATTGTTGGAAAGATCTGTATGTAGAGCCAGTGGTGACCTCTTGGAGGGTTTGCTCTCTGGTCACGTGGAACCTGTCTAGAAGGGATACATACTGGTTATTGGATCTAGAGCGGGGCCAGATGGAACCTTGGGCATTCACAGACACCTACATCTTGATCTTATAAAATCAGGCAGCATCACCTGAGAGCTCTTCAGGCCATTTGCCGTGTGACACAGCTGCCTGCCAAAGTATCATCTGCCTGAAGGCACTTTTCCTCTTTTTTGTCTGGTTAATTCCTTCCTGTCCATCAGGAGAGGATCTGCTTCCTCTGGGAAATGACTTTCACAGATGCACCACCTCCTTCCTCACCATACATGTACTTTAGGCTCTCTTCCCAGTGACCCCAGCACACTGCCTTTTATTACCCAGCTTCCATATTGTAAATTCTCTGTCCCTCTCTTCTTGTAAAATTACTTTCCTCTCATTCTCCTGGAAGTTCTGTGAGGTCAGGAATTGTGTTTTATCCATCTGTGTAGTTGAAGCACCTTATACAGTAGATATCCTCAATAAAATGTGTTGAATGAAGTCATTCCATAACAGCATAATTCACTCCTGTGCTCTACTTTGAATGTGCTTCTCTGTCTGGTCATATCCAGGGTAGTTGGGGAAAGAAGAATCCTCTTGCAGAGTTTGAGGTTCTTGTGAAACAAAGTTGGGAAGGCCCCTGAAGTAGCTGGCAGGGAGGAAAGGCCTGTTGAAAGGTATTTTAGGGAATACAGTTCATAGTGATAGGCCGGAAGGTCTGAAGGGAGAAATCTATATCTGAGAGGCTGTAATTTCTGATCCTGCTACACTGTATAGTTTTTAAAAAGAGAAATAAGATTCAGAGAAGGGAAAATTGACTATTTTAAAGTATACAATTGAGTGGCCTTTTAGTACATTGACATGTTGTATAACCACTGCCTCTCTCTAGTTCCAGGACATTTATCATCCCAAAGGGAAATTCTCTTTCCATTAAGCAATCACTTATTTTCCCTTCTCCCAACCCCTGGCAACCACTAATCTGCTGTCTATGGACATACCTGTTCTAGGTGGTCCCTATAATGGAGTCCTAGAAGATGTACCTCTTGTGTTTGGGTTCTTTCACCTAGCACAGTGTTCTCAAGGTTCATCCGTGTTGTTGTATATGTGAGTGCTTCATTTCTTTTTATAGCTGAATAGTATTCCATTGTATGGACATGTATCATTTTGTGTATCCATCCATTCATTGGATGATGGACATTTGGGTTCTTTGTATCTTTGGGCTGTTGTGAATCGTCTGCTATGAACATTCGTGCACAAGTTTTTGTTTATATACCTGTTTGCGGTTCCTCTTGGTGTATACTGAGGAGTGGAATTGCTGGGTCATATGAGAATTCTGTGTTTAGCTTTTTGAGGATTGAATTACACTTTTTATATGTACTCATGAAGGTTCTTTTATACAGATTGACTTGTAAGATTCATTTTTTAATTGAATAGTTGTTACTGATGTTTTATCAGAAGATGAGGCATTGTTTTGCTGTATTTCTATAAAATATCCATTTTTAAAACTTCACTGTTCTTTTTCATGAATCTCATGTTTATGCTTGCTTTTCCATGTGAGCAACAGCAGCTTTTTTTTTTTTTTTTAATTTAAACATCTGTGCTTATTTTGTTTCTGTCTTCCATTAACCATATTCCTCTCTTCCTCTCCAGGAATCTTATCTGTTAAATTTCCCTGCATATACTTATTTACTCCCTGGCAACACATCATCTCTTTTCAGCTGCTTCTTCCTTCCTCTCTGCTGGTAATACAAGTTTTGCTTGGAAATTCTTTTTTCTTAAGCTTTTTTTTGTTTCCTGCACTTGTGGGTGGTTTTACCTTATTAAAAATTTTTTTTCTTTTTCACTAAAATATGTGAAAGTTCAGCATAAATGCAATTTCAGTTTAAGAAACTGGGGGAAAGTATGTGCATTGTATTTGTCTCTATATAAATATAGAAACTATTTGCACAGAAAGTACTATTGAGTTAACTAACTTGAATGCATTCTCCTAATTACCAGTAAAACTTCTCAGTCTTGGGGCACACCCTTTTAAAAAAAATTTTTTTTATAATGTTTGTTTATTTTTGAGAGAGAGAGACAGAATGTGGGCCAGAGGTCAGAGAGAGAGGGAGGCACAGAATCCAAAGCAGGCTCCAGGCTGAGCTGTCAGCACAGAGCCCAATGTGGGGCTTGATTGAATTCGTGAACTGTGAGATCATGACCTGAGCTGAAGTCAGACCCCAAATGACTGTGCCACCCAGGGGCACACCTTTTTAAAACCAATTTCAAAGACATGATTGAATTTTGTTTTAAATGTAAATATATTTTGTATGTTTAAAAATGACAACAAAGTGATAAGCAAAGATGTTAATTTGAACCTTATCATGGTCATGAGTAAATGTCAGTAATACAAGGGCCCTTGTAATAGACTCCAGTATCCTGTTCCTTCATCATTATGTGTCTGAAAACATAGTGAATGGATAATTTTAGAGGCAAAAAAACAAAGTAAGAGTATCTTAGCAATATAGAAATGTTTTAAGAAAAAACAGTATTCTATGTTACAGCTTGCCCTTGTCACTGTCCACGGCCGATCTTGAACACCTGTCTTAGGCGTACAGTTTGGGCATAGAAATTCTGAAGTGCTTTTGATTATTCTCAAGAGTAATACATTATCAGTTTAGTAATTACATTAAATGTTATGTAAGACATTTCTTCTAGGCCTCCTAAATTTTGCTTTTATTTTTCACTTTTCCAAGAAAATAGTTTTACTGCACATATATTAAAAAAAATCTTTTGAACCAATTAGAAAGGCCATCATTTTTTTCTTCTACAAAACGGATCTAAAGTTAACATAGTTTTTGACAATTTTAAAAACCGTCTTAAAGACCATTTATATGGATAGCAGATAGCTTAAGACTGTACTACAGAAAAGTACACAAATGCAGTGTTTGTAAATCTCACTCTTGATTTGAGCTTCGTGGATATAAAAAACAAATGGCATGATTAATAGAGGAAATTCATTTTCTTTTTAGGATAACAAGAATGTTAATGAATCTGGACGGACCCAGCTGGCGGGAGAAGCTGTCACCTATTCCTGTTGCGCCCGCTTCTGCACATTTACCAGCTTGGCAGCCTGCCACCGAGACACCCCCAGAGCGAGTGGAAGCGCCCTGCAGCGGTCCCCAGCCTGCCATCACAGGTGGGGGAGGCCTGCCCTCCTTTCTTGTGAGGGTTATCTTGAGCCATGTGTATATCTTCATGGTAAAGCAGAAGGGGTTTAAGCTAAGACCCTCTTCTCCCTCTAACTAGTCTTAAGAAGTTGGCCATGATGTGTAGCAACATGGATGGACCTTGAGGGTGTTATGCTGAGCGAAACAAGTCAGGCAGAGAAGGACAAATATCACATGTGTGCACGTATAGGAGGATTAGGAGGACCTTAACTGAGGACCATGGGGGAGAAGAAGGGGGGAAATGGTGGGGGAAAGGGAGAGAGGCAAACCATGAGAGACTCTTGAACGCTGAGGACAAACTGAGGACTCATGGGTGTGGGGGGGGAAGGGGAGATGGGCATGGAGGAGGGCACCTGTGGGGATGAGCACTGGGTGTTACATGGAAACCAACTTGACAATAAACTATTTGTAAAAAAAAAAAATAATAAAATAAAAAATAAAAAAATAAAATAAAGTTACATTAAAAAAAAAAAAAAAAAAGTTGGCCATGAACTCCAGCATCAGGCCCAGGTTTAAGTTTAAGACCCTGTTCTCCCTCTAGTCTTAAGAAGCTGCTTCATACGTCCAGTGTCCTAGTGTGTATGAAAGGAGGAAAGATGAGTAACTATCTCATGGAGTTCTTAAGAATAAATGGAGATGTGCATACAAAATAATGAAGGTTAAGTTAACATTATTATTAATACGAAAAAGAAGTAGGATTAGTTTACTAGTACGCCTGTATGTGGCAAGGTTAAAATGGTATGATTGGTGTGTTTGAAATAATAAAAGCCTATAGCGTAAGTATCTAGCAGGTATTTCCTTCTGCCTCATATCATAGTTGTTAACACATCTGCATTCCCCTAGTACCTACCTCATTACTTTTTGCAGCGTGTTTAATACATGTGACTTCAGTCTTGCTTTCTGCGTAAAGCTGGTGAGGCCCCATTTCTCCTTCCTGCTTAGGAACTCTGTGTATGTCCCTAGTTGAGCCTCATCTCCCAGACACCATGAGATTCCTGAGTCATGGTGTCCCAGTGGCTTCTGTTAGACCCTCACCCTCTTTTTTTTTTTTTTTTAAATGTTTTTTTTTATTTATTTCTAGGAGAGAGAGAGAGACAGCGTGAGCAGGGGAGGGTCAGAGAGAGAGGGAGTCACAGACTGAAACAGGCTCCAGGCTCCGAGCTGGCAGTCAGCACAGAGCCTGACGCGGGGCTCGAACCCACGAACTGCGAGATCATGACCTAAGTGAAAGTCAGACGCTTAACCGACTAAGCCACCCAGGCGCCCCGACCCTCACCCTCTTTGACCAGAAAGAAGATGCAGTTTATTTAAATGTTTATTTATTTATTTTGAGAGAGAGAGTGTGTGCGCACACCTGTGTGCAGGCAGGGGAGGAGGCCCGGGGCGGGGGGGAGAGAATCCCAAGCAGGCTCTGTGCTGTCAGCGTAGAGCCCACGTCGGGGTGAGAGTGTGACCTGAGCCAGAATCAAGAGTCAGAAGCCTAAACTGGCTGAGCTACCCAGATGCCCCAGGGCTTTAAGATCATGGGCATCTCTTGTTTTCTAGAATTTGCTATTAGAGCCTCACATAAAGCATTTGTTCAGTAAAGGATAGCTGTTTATTAACAGAGTGCATATACTAACTATACCATAGATGTGGGATAGCTAATTATAAGTACAAGTATAGTCCGTTCTTTCTGTTCATTTTTATGTGATTATTAGAATAGATACCAAAGGTTTAAAAACCCTGGGGGAAGAAAAGCTTAAGGGAAGTTTTTTCAGCAAATTATATAAGCCCTAAAACAGTATTAATCTGCCAGAATTTATGGGAAGTGCCGTTGGCCCCATTGTATGAGTTCTTTTAAACATGAAACATTAGAAATTTCCTGTGATTGGGGTGCCTGGGTGGCTCATTTGGCTGAGCATCTGACTCTCCGTTTTGGCTCAGGTCATGATCTCAGGTTTCATGAGTGCAAGTCCTCCATCGGGCTCTGTGCTGATGGTGCAGAGTCTGCTTGGGATTCTCTCTCTTCTTTCTCTTTCTCTGCCCCTTCCCCCCTCGTTCTGTGTCTGTGTCTCTCTAAACAAATAAACTAAAAAAAGATGAGAAGTTACTACTTCATACCGTTGTGCAGGGGACAGATAAGATTGTTGTTAACATTCCAAGTTTATATTGTAAGTTTAGTATATTAAGGTTTTTAGATTATAAAATTTAAAGATATTTTTAAATTTTAATTATGGATTTTTGTATCCGGTTACTCTATTGGGTAATTTACACAGATTTAAAACTTTAGATATTCATATTTAATGTGTATTCAAAAACGTTGATTGAGAGTAGCTCAAAATCTGTTGACAGGTTGTAAGGAAAGGTTTTGGCTCCTGGAACTGAAAGGGCTCAGGCAGCCCCTAAAATCAGACACAGCTCTGAAATGTAATAGAAAGTGAAAATAATAGAACTGCAGCAATTTTAGGCTTCACATGTGCACGTATCAGTGTCTAAAGTGAGAAAGACACCATTGCTTTGGGTGGCATTAATTTAACAATGAGAAGACAATGTTACATCTAAAACCCTAGCTTTTTTATCCTGTTACTTTCTTGGCTCAGATTCTATTGATACTTTAATGGGTCATGTGTCCATTCCTGAGCCAGTCCCTATGATGAAGAAATGCCATGCCTGGATTGGCTTAGGCCTGAGTTCCTCATTAGTGGGGTCAGCTTTCCCTAAAGGTGAGGGGTGATAGCTGAATGAACATCAAGGCACTCTTAGGAAGGGACTCTCCTAAGCAGAGAGTCGGCCATGATCACTGCAAGGTAACAGGTAATGGTAATAGTTGGGACTCTCTCTTTGAAGATAACAGAAAACCCAACCCTTTATTGCTTAAGCAATAAAGGTTGTTTACTGGCTCATACCATGGAAAAGTCTACAAGTCAGGGATGGTTGGATTCAGGACTCGGGGATTCTTTTTTTTATTTATTATTTTTTTAAAATTTCTGAGAGAGAAACAGTGTGAGCAGGGGAGGGTCAGAGAGAGAGGGAGATATAGAATCTGAAACAGGCTACAGGCTCTGAGCTAGCTGTCAACACAAAACCTAACACGGAGCTTGAACCCACGAACCATGAGATCATTGACCTGAGCTGAAGTCAGATGCTTAACCGACTGAACCACCCAGCTTATTTAGCTTTCTATTTTGGCTTCTCTCTTGCTTTTTTCACCCCATTTTTAGACACACAGATTATCCCCTTGTATCATTGGATGGCAGGATAGCTCCTCCTCCTTTCCTCCTTATTTTCCACTGGAAAGAGCCAAGATTTTTCAGAAGCTGCCACAAAAATATTAGTGTATCTTACTGGCTCTCATAAGCCCATCACTGAGCAATTAGATTATTGTGGCCAAGAAAATATAACATGCTGATCAGTAAAACAAAAAAGATTACTCCAAATGGGAGGGCTAGCAGTTTGCTTTACCTCAACTACAGGACAGCGGGTGGAGGAGGTGTGATTTTCCAAGGGACTGTGGGGCCTGGACACATGTCTACCTCAGGCTTGAACAGGTTTGTTTGTTCATCATTCATGAAATAGTTTTTCCACCAAACACTCTAGATGTTTGTATCTCCAGCAAAGTATATAGCAATATGGATAAAATAATAGAGTTACTTATATTTTATTTTCTAATTTGAAAAAAATATTATCATAATTGTGTAATTTTTACTTACAGCCAATTTGCCTTTTTAATTTGTATACCAAGTTTTCTTCCACTGAGACTTCAGCTCTGCATGGTATGTGGTCAGGTTAATTTGCAATAGAATTTCTGCTTACAGATGTACTGAAGATTTTGTAGAGGTGCTTATATGAATCCTTCCTCTTCTTTTTTTTCCCCCTTGGGGGGTGTCCCGTAGATGAAAAAATGTTTAAAACCCTTAAAGAAGAAGGAAATCAATGTGTAAAGGACAAAAACTATAAAGATGCCCTTAGTAAATACAGTGAATGCTTAAAGATTAACAACAAGGAATGTGCCATTTATACAAACAGGCAAGTTCTTTGTAACTTTATGTATTTTTTACTTTCATTTTTTTAATTAAAACAGAGACAAATTAATTGCCAGTGTTTTCTCCCATCATTTTGAGAATTTATATAGCATATTGTCCTAGGTGAGTATCTTTTAAAGAGATGGGGCCATAGAAGTTCCAGAGGGATGGAAGGCATGAGGCGGGCTGGGCGTCCTCTGCCGCATGGGTTCTGCTGGCCTCGCTGCCCTGACGCTGCTGCGCTGTCCCATCTTGGCCATTCGTACCCACTGTGGCTTAGCCAGGTCTGCGTGTTGTCCTCTGTGTGGGAGCAGCAGTCAGTGCTTTTCAAACTCGTTTCTTAAGTGTCTTTTTTCTCTTGAAGTCCTAAGAGAGAGGACCAGCCTCCTTCAATGCTTAGCAGGAAAGGGCAGATTGTTCTGGAAAGCTGTTTAGATGCTATCTATACCATATAATGGTGAACGCTTGCTCTAGAAGTCTGGTGATTTGGGGATGTTTAAGAATAGGCGGACTCTGGGGTGATAGATAAGGAAGACGGCTCCTAAAGAGCAGGGACTCCCAGCACAAGATTTCCTAGCCATTTCAGATGAATTCTTTTTTAACCTCTCACTGGCTTTGTTTTTGTACATGTTTTCCTCTATTGGCAACCAGTTAGCCAAAAATTTTGTCATTAACTCCAACATGAAGTTTTCTCCTCTTCTTCCGTTCAGCTTCTGCGGTGTTGGGCATTGATGGCCACTCAGTTTTCCCTGGAAACCGCCCCCTCCTCCTCTTTGGTATCAGGGCAGACACCTCACGTGCCTGGCTCTCTTCTCCTCTACAGGCCTTTCTTTCCCTGCCGTTCTTGGGGTTCTGAAGGTGTAGGTCCCTTTTTCACTCTGCATGCTCTCTGAGCCATTCCATCCCCCCTTCAGTTCCATTACCACCTTTCAGTTATGTCCCCCCACATCTCTGGGTGGGCTCCAGACCCAAGCACTCAGCATTCAGCTCCTCTCTGCATTCCTTTTTTTTTTTTTTTTAAATATTTTTATTTATTTCTAGGAGAGAGAGAGACAGCGCGAGCAGGGGAGGGCCAGAGAGAGAGGGAGAGGGAGACATAGACTCCGAAACAGGCTCCAGTCTCCGAGCTGGCAGTCAGCACAGAGCCCGACGCGGGGCTCGAACCCACGAACCGCGAGATCACGACCCAAGCGAAGTCGGACGCTTAACTGACTAAGCCACCCAGGCGCCCCACCTCCTCTCTGCATTCCTGACAGACGCCTCTCTCCCCAAGTCTGTCTGCAAGCTCGGATGTCCTACTTCTAAATTCCTCTTGGGGGAGCCTTTCTCTCCGCCTTCCCCATCACCCAGGTCTTCGGCCACCACCGTCTCCTCCTAGATGTCTGCAACCCCCTCCTCAGCACAGGCTTGTTCCCTCTCGTCTCATTCTCCAAGTTGCAGCACAAGTAACCTTCCTAAAACATGGTGACCATGTTAGCCTCTGTTTGAGAACCCACTGGTGGACTTGCATGAAGCTCAGGCCCCTTGCCATGATTTACAGAGCTCTTCGCCATCTGGCATGGCCACCCTTCTACCTCATCCCTGCACCCAGCCAGCTGTATGGCACTTGTCTCGGTTCATCAAGTGTACCTTGTTCTCTCTCTGTGTCACTGAGATTCTGCTGTTGCTGGGACCTTGGCCACCTCTCTCCCATCCTGCATCGTAACTCTCGGCCCAGTACCTTCACACTGGATAATTCTCACCTCTTCTTCTGGGATTCAGATTATATATGTATAGCTTCTTCTGGGAAGTCTTGCCTGACTACTCCTGCCTTTGCCTCAGCCCCACCAGATCCGATAAGATTCTCAGTTGTGTGTTCCCAGAGCATCCTGTTCAGATTTTATTATGTTTGCTTGTTTTAACTGTCTGTCTCTTCCACTTAGACTATAGCCTCCTTGAGGGGCCTGAACTGTATTTGTCTGCAGTTGTATCCCCAGCGCCATAAATATGTATACTGCAAGAAAATGCCAAAATTAGAGTAAAATGTTAGGTTTCAGTGAGACAGCTAAAGACTTATTGAGCTATGTTCTGATTTTTATTAAGTGTCTAAATTCACAGATAAGTTGTCTTTGCTTTTCATAATACATACTTGGTTTCATAATTACGTTCTACCAGAGCTCTGTGTTACTTGAAGCTGTGCCAGTTTGAAGAGGCAAAGCAGGACTGTGATCGGGCGCTTCAGATAGATAACGGGAATGTGAAGGCGTGCTACAGACGAGCCCTGGCTCATAAAGGACTCAAGGTGAGGGAGCCTTCATTTTAATAAGTTTCAGCTCTGAAAACAACATGTGGTTTTTATGATCATGCATCTTGGGATCATGGAGTGAGAGTGAGACTCTCCTGGGGTTTAATCCTGGTTCTGTGCTAACCAATCCCAAAACCTTGGAAGAGGCCTCAGATTTCCCCTACCTTTAATGTGGAGCTAGATGGTTTCTAAGATTCCTTCCAGCTCAAAAATTATGATTTTATTTCCTGATTTCCCAAGGAATTTTGTTAGGGCAGATCTATTTTAAGGAACAGGAAGGATTATTACTGAATCACTGAAGTCAACCAGCAATGCCACTGGGTTCCTCCACGGAAGGACTGGGGTGTCTGCGGGGTGGGAGGAAGGCACCAGAATGGATGTATAATTACACTTTTCTTTAGGCTGATTCTTCTGCGTGGAAAACTTGAATGAATGTTCATGTTTGTAGAAAGTAACATCACAAGGAAAAGTTAGAACATACTTGGCTATGGTATTTCTTGAAATTGCTATTTCTTAAAAATCAATTTGATTAGGGGCTAATACAATGAAATTCACACATGGTAAGTTTACAGGTCTTTGACTTTTCTCTTTAGAGGTTTTTTTTTTTTTTTAATTGAGATATAATGGGCAAACTAACATTGTATTAGTTTCAGGTATACAGCCTAGTGATTTGATTTGCAAAATGATCACCAGAGTAAGTCTAGTTAGCAGCCCATCAGCACACATAATTGCAGTTTTTTTTCTTGTGATGAGAACTTTTAAGATCTATGCTTGCAGCAACTTTCAGATACACAATACAGTATTACTAATCGTAGTCACCATGCCGTGTATTATATCCAGTGACTTATTTCTTTTTTAACTGGAAGTTTGTGCCTTTTGACCCATTTCACCCACTCCCAGACCCTGTCTTGCCTCTGTCAACCACGAGTTTGTTCTTTGTATCTGTAAATTCAGTTTTGTTTTTGTCCTTGTTTTCTAAATTTCACATACAAGTGAAGTCATAAGGTAATCGCCTTTCTCTGTCTTATTTCACTTGTAGCATGTACCCTCAGGATCCATCCATGTTGTTGCAAATGGCAGGATTTCCTTCTTTTGTGTGACTGTAAATATACCGCATCTTCTGTCTCCATTCATTCATTGATGAACACTTTGGTCGTTTCCATGTCTTGGCTGTTGTAGATATTGCTGCAGTTAAGGCTGCAGATGTCTTTCAGATTTAGTGTTTTCATTTCCTTCAGATAAATACCTAGAGCTGGAATTGCTGGATCGTATGGTAGTTGTAGTTTTACTTTTTTGAGGAGCCTCCATACTGTTTTCTGTAATAGTTGTATCAGTTTACATTCCCACCCACACTGCACAGAGGTTCCCTTTTCTCCGCATCCTCACCAGCACTTGTTATCTCTTATCTTTTGGATGATTGCCATTCTGACAAGAATGATGCCTCATTGTGTTTTTGATTTCTATCTCCCTGATGGTTAGTGATGTTGTGCATTTTTTCAGATACCCATTGGTCATCTGTTTGTCTTCTTTGGAAAATTGTCTCTTTAGTTCCTCTGCTCATTTCTTTCTTTCTTTTTTTTAATTTCTAGGAGAGAGAGAGACAGCGTGAGCAGGGGAGGGTCAGAGAGAGAGGGAGTCACAGACTGAAACAGGCTCCAGGCTCTGAGCTGGCAGTCAGCACAGAGCCCGACGCGGGGCCCAAACCCACGAACCGCGAGATCATGACCTAAGCGAAAGTCGGACGCTTAACCGACTAAGCCACCCAGGCGCCCCCCTCTGCTCATTTCTTAATCAGAGTCTTTTATCGATGTTGATATTCATTATATGAATTGTTTGTGTATTTTGGATGATAACTGCTTTTTAGATAGAGGATTTGCAAATATATTCTTCTACTTGGTAGTTTTCATTTTGTTGATGGTTTGCTTCACCGTGCAGAAGGTTTTTAGTTTGATGTAGTCCACTTGTTTATTGTTGGCTTTTGCTACCTTTGCTTTTGGCATTAAATCCAAAACCCAAGACCAGTGTCAAGGAGCTTACTACCTATCTTTTCTTCTGGGAGTTTATGGTTTCAAGTCGTATGTTCAAATTTTGTCCATTTTTTTGTTGATGTTCATCTGTAGTATTAGACAGTGGTCTAATTTTCCCAACACCATTTATTAAAGACTGTCCTTTCCCCAGTGAGAATTCTTGGCACCTTTGTCATAAGTTAGTTTGACAGTTTATGCAGGAGTTTTTATTTCTGGGCTCTCTGTTCTGTCTTTCTCATCTCTATGTCTGTTATTATGCCAATACCATACTGTGTTGATTACTATAGTTTTAATAATTAATATAGCTAATTAATATAGCTAAAATGTAGCTTTGTTTTTTTATAAAACTTTGTGTGTGTGTGTGTATGAGAGAGAGAGAAACAGAGCATGAGCCGGGGAGGGGCAGAGAGAGAGGGAGACACAGAATCTGAACCACACTCCAGGCTCTGAGTGGTCAGCACAGAGCCCAACGCGGATCTCAAACTCATGAACTGTGAGATCATGACCTGAGCCAAAGTCAGACACTTAACCTACTGAGCCACTCAGGCACCCCTCTAATGTTTAAAATCAGGAAATGTGATGTTTCCAGCTTTTTGTTCCTTTTCAAGATTGCTTCGGCTATTTGCAGTGTTATGTGGTTCATATAGTAAGTTTTAGGATTGTTTATTCTATTCTCTGAAAAATGCCATTGGAATTTTGAATAGGGATTGTTTTGAATCTGTAAATTGCTTTGGGTAGTATAAACATTTTAACAGTATTATTTTTTCCCATCCATGAGCATAGAAAGTCTTTCCATTTATTTCTATCTTCTTCAATTTCTTTCATCAATGTGCTACAGCTTTCAACGTACAGAGCTTTCACCTTCTTGGTTAAATTTATTCCTAGGTATTTTTTTCTTTTTGATGCAATTGTAAGTAGAATTGTTTTCTTAATTTGGCCATTGATTTTTGAATAATGTAAATTCCTGTGTAGCCACCACTCCAGTCAAGGTAAATATTTGCATCTCTTCAGAAAGTTCCCTATGCCCATTTTCCTTAATTTCCTTCCTTCCGCCACCACTCCCAGGCAGCCATTCATCTAGTTTCTATCACTATACATTAGTTTTGCTTCAGGGCACCTGGGTGGCTCAGTCAGTTAAGCGTCTGACTTCAGCTCAGGTCATGATCTTATGGTTCCATGGGTTTGAGCCCCTGGTCAGGCTCTGTGCTGACAGCTACCTCAGAGCCTGGAGCCTGTTTCAGATTCTGTATCTCCCTCTCTCTCTGACCCTCCCCTGCTCATGCTCTCTCTATCTCTCTCTCAAAAATAAATAAAACATTAACAAAGGTAGGTTAGTTTTGCTTTTTTTTGATAGTAACATAAACATAGTCCTGTAGAATGCACTGTATACTTTGGCATTTATTTATTTATTTTTATTTTTTATTTTTGCTCAGCATAACATCTGAGTTAATCCATACTATGTGAACATTAGGCATTGTTCCTTTTAAAAAAATTTTTTTTTAAACTTTTTTTTTTTTAATGTTTTATTTATTTCTAGGAGAGAGAGAGACAGCGTGAGCAGGGGAGGGTCAGAGAGAGAGGGAGTCACAGACTGAAACAGGCTCCAGGCTCTGAGCTGGCAGTCAGCACAGAGCCCGACGCGGGGCTCGAACCCACGAACCGCGAGATCATGACCCAAGCGAAAGTTGGACGCTTAACCGACTAAGCCACCCAGGCGCCCCCCTTTTTTAAAATTTTTTAAATGTTTTTTTTTATTTTATTTTTTTTTGAGAGAGACAGTGTGAGTTGGGGAAGAGCAGAGAGGGAGACACAGAATCCGAAGCAGGCTCTAGGCTCTGAGCTGCCAGCAGAGAGCCCAATGTGGGGATCAGGCTCACAAACCGTAAAATCATGACCTGAGCCAAAGCCCGATGCCCAACCGACTGAGTCACCCAGGCGGCCCAGGAATTATTCCTTTTTTATTGTTGAGTTCTATTGCTGAATATACCACAACTTTTTTTTTTTTAACGTATTCACCAGTTAATTACATTTCAGTGTTTCCAGTCTGGGTCTGTTAATAAAGCTGCTATGATTTTTTCCACCCACATGTTATGAACTTGTTCATGAATTGGTACAGCAAGAGGCCAGGTGGGAGTGGGGATGGAGAGAGATGGTCAGATCATGAAAGGCCTGGGAGGTCACTAAGCCTGTGGTGACTAGGCTTAGTCCTGGAGGTGGTGGGAACCCCACAGGCCATGTGGTCCCGGGGGAAGGCACGATGGGTCACATTTGGCGGCGGTGTGGAAGGTGGATCATCGGGGACCCAGCTGGAGTAGGGAGATGGGTTAGAAGCCCCCAGGGTCAGCTGCCTGAAGGAAGATAATGATAGAAGAGAGAAGGCATACTGGTTTCCCAGGGCTGCCGGGACAAAGCAGCCACATCGTGGTTAAACTACAGGAATTTATTTTCTAAGAGTTCTTACGGTCCTTAATCTTGAGATTAAGGTGTCAGCAGGGATGACTCCTTCTGAGGGCCGTGAGGGAAGGTGTGTCCTAGCCCCTCTCCTGGGCTTGCGGTTGGCTGTCTTCTCCCTTATCTTCACCTCTTCTCTCTGTATATGTCTGCCTTCCAGTTTCTTCTTTTTATAAGGACACCAGTCATACTGCATAGGGCCCGCCCTAATAACCTCATGCTACCTTGATTACTTTTTTAGAGAACCTATCTCCAGAGATGCCGGGGTGGCTCAGGAGGTTGAGTGTACAGCTCTTTATTTTGGCTCACATCATGGTACTGACCATGGTTCTGGGATTGAGCCCCACGTCAGGCTCTGCACTGACAGCGTGGAGCCTGCTTAGGATATTCTCTCTCTCTCTCTCTCTCCCCCCTCCCCCTCCCTCTCTCTCTCCCTCTGCCCCCCCCCCCACCCGCCTCCCTTGCTCATACTTGCTTGTGCTCTCTCTAAAAGAAGAAAACCTATTTCCAAACATGGTTACATTCTAAAGTGCTCTGGGTCAAGCCTTCAACATAGGAATTTTCGGGGGAACACAATTCAGCCCGTCATGGAAAGGGACATTAACTGAAGGTTGTTTGAGGGTAAAATTGACAGACCTACCGAGCAGTAAAATGTGCCGAGGAAGGAGCAGAGGCAGTACCTGCAGGGTTCCTGGCTTGGGTAGCTGAGTGGTGGAGTGTATAGTCGAGGGTATTCAGGAGGAGGGAGAAGCTTGAGTGTGGAGAAGGATAGTTCGGGTTGACATTCCTGAGTTTGAGAGAATTCTCTTAGTTTCTGCCCATCACTGACAGGGAAATACTATAAAAATATCTTCTGTAAAACCTGGGTATTGTTGGGACATGGTAGTCATGTTCTTATTCAGTGAGCATATGACCTGTGCTCATCGTGCATTGAGGAATCAGGCTACTCTGCGTCCTAGATGCTGCGGGGGGGGCAGCACAGGGACAGTGCTGTGACCTCCAGTTTGGGGAGCCATGCAGCTAGCTGCCTGTCCTCTGTCGCCCCTCCCAGTTTGGTACAAAGGATATTGTAAAGGATACGGATGAACAGCCAGGTAGAGGTCTGTCCGGCCAGGTCCAGAAGGGTCCTGAGCACGGGAACTTGCCTCCATGGAGCTGGGGTGCGCCACCTGCCCTGCGGCTGGGTGCATTTGCCGAGCCAGAAGCTCCACTGTAGTCACGGTGCCCGTACCACCTGACTCCCCCCGACGCCTGCTTTTTTGGTTAGCAACACACTCATTTATAAACCTCACGTGTAGATTCCTCAGGTGGTGTGTGGCACCATGAATTCAAAGAGGCTTCTTCAGGATGTACTCCGCTTTTTCTGAGCTCAGTGCATTCAGGTACATGAGGTAGGTCTGCGTGGTGGCTCGCAAGCCTGTGCACTTCCTGTGGCTGCCTCACTCTTGGAACTTGGCCTTCCTGATGAAACGTGAGAGGTGTACCTAATGAAAGGCTTTTTATACTCCTTTGGAATGAATTCTAGAAATCGTATTCTGCAGAAAAATGATCCCAAATTTCAGTAATCCAATCCCACTAGATTCTGAGGCTGGCAGCTTGTTTTTCTTGTTTGATTTCTTGCAGTTTCATTTGTATATCCTGTAGTTTGAGTTAGGTGCCAAGCGAATTTAGTTTCAGGATCTTCAAAAGCTACCACTGCTTATAAAATGCACCCGAACCCACACCTGGATCCATTTCCTTAGCGTGTCTGTGAGGAGCTGGCACAGAGGCTCACGGCGAGCAGGTGCCCTGCCTGTGGTCATTAGCGTGTGTGTGCACACACACGCATGCACCAGTTTTAAAAATTACAGGGCATTCACTTAGAATTCCTTCCCCCCCAAGTTTTTATTTAAATTTCAGTTAACATACAATACACTACTAGTTTCAGGTGTAGAATTTAGTGGTACACTTAGTACAACACTTAGTACACTTAGTACAACATTCAGAGCTCATCACGGTAAGTGCCCTCCTTGATCCCCAACACCTAACTCACCTGTCCCCCCCCATCCGCCTCCCCTCTGGTGAACATTGGTTTGTTCTCTAGAGCTAAGAGTCTGTTTCTTGGTTTGCCTCCTCCCCCAACCCTTGTGTTCATTTGTTTTGTTCACATTCCACATGTGAGTGAAATCATATGGTATTTGTCTTAGAATTTTTTGCTGAGTGCCATTTACGTGCTAGATTGTGGGAGCGTAGTGGCAAATAAGACGTGGTGCTTGCAGTAAGGAGTTTGCAGCCAGCTAGCTGGGTCTGCTAGAGGGCCAGAAATATCAAAAAGTATTATAGTTTAAGTGCATCTATTAATTTATATGTTATCACAAACACATGTGATAATCCTTTTTTTATTTTAAGGACTAATGATGCAACCAGCAACTTTGAATGTCCTTCTTTTTGCCAGAGCCACACTTTCCTCTTCGTGTACTCTCTGCTCTTCTCTCCTGCATGGCTGTCTCTCTTCAGGTCTTGTGTTTTCTGACGACTGTGTCAAAAGAAGACTCCTTCCCCCTCGTTGGTATCCATCAAAAACCTTGGCTTTCTTCATTGCTTTAGCAACAGTCCATACGTACTCATTTGTTGGCTTTTTTATATGTTTCCCTTCATAAGACAGAAACTTCCCTAAGGACCAGGCCACCTGACCATCCTTGGGATCTGGCAGACTGGCCCCTCCTCTTCCACGGCCTCCACTCTGCCTGCTCTCTTTTTACTTTTGCTTGCCTCTGTTTTAACTCTTACCACAGTGTATCTCCTGTTTTCTTAGATCTCCTTCAACCAGATTGCTCTTTATGCAGATTTTTTTTTTTTTTTTTTTTGAATGGGTTGAAAACCATACTGACTCTGTGACTCTTGGACTTTCATTTCCGAGGCTGTAGCTCACAAAGCTGTTTTCAGGCTTCTCACTAGGATTCCACAACTATATTCCCATTCACTTTCTGGTCCTTGCTGCCTCGGTCATCCCAAGGATTGTCTCTCTCTGACTCAGTTTTCTTACCTTGAAAATGGGGACAGAAGTTAGTATGTACAGGGCTGTGTGAGAGTAAACTAATACTTTCAAAATGCTGAGAAGGTAAGAGTTAGCAGGAATGACTACCTCAGCTTGCCCTGGGGCCCCACCCCCTCGCCTTTGGTACGGTTCCCAGCGTGAACACGTCGGGGTGGAAATACGGGGTCATTTGGGTTTTCTGTTCCAGCTGTCCTGTGGTGATCCGTTCCTAACGGTATGTAATGTACTATCATTTGTAAATAATTTACCTTTTTTAATGAATTAGAGCAGGTTTAAGTTTATCTGTTTAAACAAATCCCTGGGTAGAGGAGGAAGGGACGTGGCGTCACAGCTAGTGCCCCAGGAATGTCACATAACCACTAGCTTAGCTCGCCTGTGCCCCAGCCTCTAGGGCGTGCTGTGATTGGTAGGTCCTGAGTACCGACGGCGGTTCTGTATCATTGGAATTCTTTGCCTCCTCACAGAATTTTAGATTAATCAAAACATTGGTCTAGTCTGTAGTTTGAGGATATGGCCTGTTGCGTCAGACTCATTTTGTGGCTTCTGTCTCTGCTACCAGATTCTGCTGTGCTTTGAGTTTAGATGCCTTTTCTTTCCTCTCAGTCTCTCCCAGAGTGTTGTCTGGCTCTGTGGAAGAATACTATTGGAACAGTAGATACAATTTTGAAGGGTTTTATGGTACAGGATGTGAGGTGAGAACCGACATTTGTATCGCCCTTTATAGAAGTTTAAATCACTCATGTTATTCATTTATGCTTCGTACAGCTTTGCGAAAACTCGAGTAGAAAAGGTTTTGTTATCCTTAAAGATGAAAAAACTGAAACTCAGGTTAAATGAGTAGGATTTTGTTCTAGTTTCTTTTAAGTTTATTTGAGGGCGCGGGGGAGGGCAGGAAGGGCGGAGGCAGAGAATACCAAACAGGCCTCCCGCTGAAAGCCCAGAGCCTGACTTGGGCTCAAACTCACGAACCGTGAGATCATGACCTGAGCTGAAATCCAGAGTCGTACGCTTAACTGGGCCACCCAGGCGCCCCTGTTCCAGTTTCTTATTTAGTGGATACTAATGTGAGGCCATTCGTTTGTTTAGCAGACAACAAATGCCTCCTGTTCATGCGGGACTGTGAAGGTGGTGATACACGAGTGAACTGGATTCTAAACAACCCCAGATTCTGTGCTTGCTCTTCTGTGTTACGGGTTTTAATATTTCAGTCCAGGACCACTTTGTGGGTCTGACTTTGTAATCAGGCCACTACAGGGAGCCCACTGCACACATTCCGCGCCACTCTGCTCCTCAGTCTCGCTCATACTTGGGCTAATCCATGCCTCTTATTATGAAAATTATTTTCTCTGCTTTTCTACTTTCAGGATTATCAGAAAAGTTTAAACGATCTGAATAAAGTTCTGCTGCTGGATTCAAGTATTATTGAGGCAAAGATGGAACTGGAAGAGGTAACCAGATTCCTTAACATTAAGGATAATGCATCATTCAGCAAAGAAAAAGAGAGAAGGAAAATTGAAATTCAAGAGGTATCTGTATTTGGTTGTTATCTTTGAAAGTACTCTCTGGGGGATATCATAGATTCTAAAGTCCTATTTCTATGAGTTCCACAAAATTTAAATTTTCTTTTTACTCGGTTGTTCAGTAAAGAAATTTTAACCAATTAGAAAGACAAAACTTTCCTTGACCGCAGTTGGCCACTGTATACCCTAGCTTGTGTCCATGGAGGGTATGGGCAGTCTGCGTTCCGGAGGCTTCTCCTTTCTCTCCTCCTCCCACCCCGCCACCCCCGCCTGGCCTATAGTTTGCGTTGTTTCTGCTCCAGATTGCTCTGGAAGTCTCTGGCCAGTGAGCTTCGCTTCAGGGTACACCTGGAGAATCCTGACAGGACTCAGTGTCAGTGGCCCTGCCGGCCATACCCCATAGGGATTTTTTTGATTGACTGAGACCTTTTTAGCACTCTGAAACAAGACTAGCCTAATCGGAGATTGTGAAATATCCCAGAATCAAACTCAGTCTCTTGTGCTCTAGCTTTTTCATTTGTCTTCAGTGAAGAATGTCAGCTCCTGAATGCCTTTGTATTTGTGAGTGCCAATATCACCCCATTTATCATACATTTCCACTAAGGGTAAGAGGCTAATATGTGAGAGAAGCTAGAAGTATTTTCCAAGGAGGGAAGAAAAAATATTACAAATTCATGTCTGTTAAATAGAACGTTGTTATAGGTCTTTCATGGAAAACTCAAGTTCATGCTCATATATTTTTTAAACTTAAAAAAATACTTTCAAGAATGGATACTTGAAACTTCCTAGAAAGAGTAGATTTTACTATTCGTTATAAATTACACACTTTTCACTTAGAATGTGATTAAAATAGAGTCTGCCAGTGTGTTTCAGTTCCTTCCCATCTCCATGCATAGAGCTTGGGATGTGCAGGGGCTGTTGTGTCACAGGATAATCTCTTTTCCTCATGAAGGTGAGCGAAGGCCATGAAGAAGAGCCAGATGGGACCTCTGCGGAGGTGGCCGGTGACTGCCTTGCCTCTGGGAAGGGGGACGCAACCAGCGGGCCACCAGCACACTGTGAAACACTCCTGATCGCCAGGCCTAACAATGCCTATGAATTTGGTCAGGTTATAAAGGCCATCAGCACAAGGAACGATAAAGAGGCCTGTGCACACCTTTTAGCCGTCACTGAACCAAAAGATTTGCCAGCATTGTTGACTAACAAACTTGAAGGGGATACATTCCTCCTCCTCATTCAGTCTCTGAAAAATCATCTTATTGATACGGATCCTTCATTGGTGTATCAGCATCTTTTATATCTGAGTACAGCAGAAAGGTTCAAGGTAAGCGGAAGAACCTTTTGGTTTAGGGTTTCTGTAATGTTAAAATGTTCGTTTTCTAATTAAGCTAATACAGTTTTTCTCCTTCTTCCAGATGATGTTGACACTAATTAGCAAGGGCCAAAAGGAGCAAATTGAACAGCTCTTTGATGACCTCTCAGATACTCCAAACAAACATTATACTTTAGAAGATGTACAGGCCCTAAGAAAGAAGTATGAGCTTTAAATCAGGCTACTGTTCGATTTCTTCCACGCATGTATGAGTTCCGGTGGTGCTAATGGGATGATACTGTAATAGCGTTGCATGGATAAAACCTGGTTCAGAAAAGATCCTTTGGTCTGGACTATATTTTACGTACTTTTATATATAGAACATGTATATTCTACAATATGCTTTTTATTAGTTGTAAATATTTTCCTACATTCCAGAGCTAACATCTTTATATTTAATAATAAGTATATTGGGAACTTGTTAAAGTACATTTTAATTTATATTCTACATTTTCTTTTAATCGTTAAAATCTGACATTTCTTCGGGCTATAAAGGATTCCTCTTAAGTTTGATAGAAATGTATTTAAAAGTGAAAATCATTAATGGTGATTGTTATATCACCTTTGTTTCCTGCTATGATATATATACTATTTTATACTACTTGTGGATTACAGTCTGTTGAGGTGAAATGTAACACTTAAATCTTATAATATGAAATGATTATTAAATTGTGATTATTAGAGCTATAAGAGGAACTTTTTTCTTACATGGAAATATTGCCTAATTAAAAATTGGCAAAAATTTCTACTAATTTTTACTACATTTTAAAAAGCTGTTTCCCAACAACTGTATAAAAGCAGACTAAGCCTGCGTGGTCACCTCCGCATTTTCCCCAACGTTTAGGTGTCATCTTCACCCTTTCCCCCCCCCCTCCTTTAAGCATGACCACATTTATTCCCTTAATGGAAGAGGGAAAGTGAAGTAATCTTATTAAAAAGTCTCCTTTGTTAACTGGGTCAAAGTAAAGGTATTTCTTACAATAAAACATTCAGGTCTCTTATCAGTGTACTGTCATTTATTGCTATAGCTTTTAGTTCTTTTTCTAGAGCACTCTTTAGAAGTGAATATCAAAGATAAGCATCACTTTCATTATTTCCATATTTAATCTTAGAATTATGAAATTTTAAAAAATCGCTGGTGGTGAACGCTATCTTTCAGACTGACATTTTTCTAACTTCTTTGTTCATTAATGAAAAGCTGCTGTGATGGGTATTTAATCTTCAAACTAATTTTTCTCTATAGTAGAAACATAAAAAGGAAACTCTTTTGTTGACCGTTACATACCCAGCACCTAGCTGCACAGGGCCAAGCTGTCTGCCAGTGGTGACCTGTCCTTCAGAGGAGCGGTGAGGGCCCAGCGGTGCCAGTTGTGTGGGTCATGGCTGGAGAAACCATTTCTTTCCAGCACCAGCCAGGGTACTGACACAGAACTCCATGACTGAGGGGAGGGAAGACGAGGTGAAGGAAGCAGATAGCAATATCAAAGAACATTAAAAGAATGCAGTTCCTGCAGTCTGCTTCAAGGTTTCAGCAGGAAGTCTGCCAATATGCCTTTGGGAGTATCCCAGCCAAAGATCTCCCCACCAGGCTGCCCCACTGGGTCCACAGGCATCCCCAAAGCCCTGTGTGTTAAACTCACACCATCTCCCATGATGTGGCTGGATCCCTGTGGATGCTCCTGAGTGGCGCAGTGAGAGGAGGTCTGGTGATCAGAGTTTTCTCAGAAAAATGGACCAGAGTCTGGGCAAGGGAGAAATCACTGACTAGAGCTGTAGCACCACCTTCTGGAAAACAAGAGAGGGTTCCCTCAGATAGACAAGTTAAAGAAAAGATGGAAAAGTTTAAGAATTCTGCCACTAGGGGGAGCATGACAAGTGTAGCAGGTTTACTCCTTCAAAAGCTGAGGACATGACACCTCTGATGTAGTGACACCAGTGATCGTACCTCATCTGAAGACAAACCAGTTGACTCAGGAGGTGTCTGCTACTTCTAATGTGAAAATAAATAGCAATACAAACATACAAGAAACATGAAAAATCAAAATATTTCATCCCCAAAAGATAAGCAATAATTCAACAACTTATTGAAGATCTAGCTCATAAGTCAGAATAGCTGTTTTGAAGAACACAACAAGCTACAAGAAAACTCAATGATATTAGGAAGGAAAACATGAAATGACCACCAAAGAGAGAAATCACAAAAAAGAACCAAATTCTGGAGTTGAAGAATTCAGTGAATGAGATGAAGACTATACTAGCAAGCCTCTGTTGTAGAATAGAGCAGATGGAAGACAGAATAAACGACTTAGAGAATAGGAATTCTGAAATAATCCAGAATCCAGAAAACAAAAGGGAGAACGGGGCAGAAAGTTTACTTTGAAAAATAATTGAAAATTCCCCAAAGCTGGGGAAAGGACTTGAACATCCAAAGTCAGAGCTCATAGATCACCCTATTATCTCAATGCGGAAAAACCTCTCAGACACACTGTAAGGAAACTACCAAAAACCAAAGAATCCTAAAGACAGCCGGGGCGGGGGGCTGGGGGGAGGGTGACTTACAAAGGAAGCCCCATTAGGCTGTCACAGCATATTTGTCAGCAGGAAAACCTGGAATGACATATTCAAAGTGTCAAAGATAAAAACTGCCAGCCAGAGTTACCCTTCAGAGATGAAGGAGAAAGATTTGCCCAAAAGACAAAACCTGAAAGAATTTACCACCACTAGGTCTACCTTGCAGAGATGCTGAGAGTAGTTCCTCAAGCTGAAATAAAAAGATGTTAATCAGTGACATGAAACCATCTTTACACTGGTGAAGATGAAAACATTGAAATTTAGAAAACTCTGTAAGATGGTATATTAGCCACTTAACTATAGTATACCATCTTACAGAATTAGAGCTTTCTAAATTTGAGTACTTTTCACCTTTTCCTTTAGGAAATGAGTATTAAAAATAACTTGCCACTATAATTTGCTGACAGTACACAATATAAAAAATTATGGTGTCAAAAAATAAGAGTAAAAGAATAAAATAGTAGACCCTTTACAGACAAATGAATATAGGTTGCTATCAGCAAAAAAATGGACTGTTCCATGTATGAGATGTTTTATGTAAACCTCATGTTAGCCACAAAGCAAAAATTTAGGTTCACAAAAGAGAATGGGGAAACCTTATATACCACCATGAAAAATCAATTTACAAAGGTGAAACAGAAGGAAAAAGGAACAGAAGGGGGGAAAACAGGAAAAGGAACAAGAGAACTACAAAACCACCAGAAGGCAATCAGTAAGATGGCAGTTATAAATCCCTACATGTCAGTAATTACTCTAAATGTAAACTGAATTCACCAATCAAAAGGCACAGAATGGCTGGATAAAAAGAAATAAGACTCAACTATATGCTCTGTACAAGAGACGCACTTCAGCTTCATACCCTTAGGTTTAAAGTGAAGTGATGGAAGAAGATACTACTTGCAGGTGAAAACCAGAAGACCAGGGGCGCCTGGGTGGCTTAGTCGGTTAAGCGTCCGACTTTCACTTAGGTCATGATCTCGCGGTTCGTGGGTTCGGGCCCCGCTTTGGGCTCTGCGCTGACTGCCAGCTCAGAGCCTGGAGCCTGTTTCAGAGTCTGTGTCTCCCTCTCTCTCTGACCCTCCCCTGTTCACGCTGTCTCTATCCTAGAAATAAAAAAAAAAAAAAAAAATTTTTTTTTGAAGAAAACCAGAAGACCAAGGATAGCTGTACTTGGCCTTAGGCCAAACAAAACCAAAAATGGTAAGAGACAAAGAAAGTCATTCTATAATAAAGGGGGTCTGTATAGCAAGATGATACAACAATCATAAACTGTATGCACTCAACATTGGAGCACCTAAATAGATGAAGCAAATACTAGCAAATCTGAATGGAGAAGTAGAGAACAGAATAATAGCAGAGGACTTTAATACCTCACTTATAGCAATGGATAAATCATCCAGACAGAAAATCAACAAGATGTTAGATTAAACCATATTTTTGACCTAATGGACCTAACAGTCATACAGAAATTTCCACCCAATAGCAACAGAATATATTCTTCCCAAGTACACAAGGAAGATTCACCAGGATAGATAATATGATAGGATACAAAACAAGTCTTAGCAAATTTAAGATTGAAATTGTATAAACTATCTTCTGACCACAATGGTACTCAATTACAAATCAACAAAAAGAAAGCTGGAAAATCTATAAATATGTGGAAACTCAACAACACACTTCTGAACAACCCAGTGGGGTCAAAGAAGAAATCAAAGGGGAAATAAAAAATTATCAATTGAAAATGGAAACAGCAAAACTGTGCAAAAGCAGTTCTGAGAGGGAAGTTTAGAATGATAAATGCATTATGTTAAGAAGTTAGGTCTCCAACAGCCTAACTTTACACCTAAAGAGTTATAAAAAGAACAAACTAAGTTCAAAGGTAGAAGAAGGGAGGAAATAAAGACCAGAAATAAGAGTTGAGAAAAAAAATAGATTTTTCAAAAAGATAAATGAAATTTTTAGCTAGACTAAGAAAAAAGACTCAAAATCAGAAATGAAAGAGGAGACATTACAGAAATACATAGGATCATAAGAGTCTACCATGAAAAATTACACATCAACAAATTAAATAGCTGAAAAATGGTTCCTAGAGACACAGAATTCACCAAGACTGAATCAGGAAGAAACAAAATCTGAACAGATTAATGATGAGAGAGTGAATTAGTAATCAAAAGCCCCCTAACAGAAAATTCCAGGACCAAATGGCTTCACTGGCAAATTCTACCAAACATGTGAAGAAGAGTTAATAGTCCTCAAACTCTTCCAAAAAACTGTAGAGGAGGGAATACTTCCAGGCTGATTCTATGAGGCCAGCATTACTCTGGTATCAAAGCCAGATAAGGACCTACAAGAAAACTAAAGACCCGTATCTCTGAAGAATGTAGATCTGAAAATTCTCTATAAAATCTTAGCAAACCAAATTCAAGAACACATTAAAAGGATTGTACACTATGACTATGTGGGATTTATCCCTGGGACCAAGGATGGTTCAACATGGGAACATCAATTCATATGCCACCATTTAATAGAATGAAAGATAGAAATCACACAGTCACCTGAATAGACGCAGAAAAAGCATTTGACAAAACACAACATCCTTTCATTATGAAAACTCTACAGACTGGGGCGCCTGGGTGGCTCAGTCAGTTAAGCGTCCGACTTCGGCTCAGGTCATGATCTCACCGTTTGTGGGTTCAAGCCCTGCGTCGGGCTCTGTGCTGACAGCTAGCTCAGAGCCTGGAACCTGTTTCAGATTCTGTGTCTCCCTCTCTCTTTGACCCTCCCCTGTTCATGCTCACGCATGCTCTCTCTCTCTCTCTCCCTCTCAGAAATAAAAAACATTAAAAAAAAATACAGACTGGATACAGAAGGTGTTCCTTATGTTCTGTATACAACACAATAAAGGCCATACATGACAAGCCTACACCTAACTTGCTCAACAGTGAAAAATGGAAAGCTTTCTCTAAGATTAGGAATGAGACAAGGATGCCTGCTCTCACCACTCTTAATACAAGTGTTAGAAACCCTAGCTAGAAGAATGAGGCAAGACAGAAATAAAAGGCATCCAAATTGGAAAGGAAGAAGCAAAACTTTTGTTGCAGTTGATACTGTATATATAGAAAATCCCAAAGACTCAACTATTGGAGCTAATCAATAAATTCAGTAAACTTGCAGGATATAAAATCGACATAAAGAAATCAGTTGCATTTCTATAACAATGAAACATCTGAAAAAGAAGAAAAATGATCCCATTCACAGTAGCATCGAAAACAAAATACTCAGGCTAAATTTAGCAAAGGCAGATCTGTACAGCAAAAACTATAAGACCTCATTGAAAGAAATCAGAGATTAGACAGACAAATGGAAAGGGATTCCATGCTTATGGATTGGAAGAATTAATATTGTTAAAATGCTCCTATTACCCAAAC